GTACCATTTCACATGAACAAATGAAAACTTAATGGTTTAAACAGATCAAGGGTAGGATGTTTTTTGCATTAACTTCACTGCAGTAGGTATTTCAGTAAGTCTAAATAGTCTACAGAATGAATTAGTCTGCTCTATTACTACACAACAGAAAGGAACATCTTTTTTTCCCTGTACAGAACTGATTCTGGTCCCTCAGGCAACTGGATTTTCTTCTGTTCCACTCAAAAACTGTAGGACAGACAATAATACAGCTTTTAATCTTCCTGCACACCTTGGTAACACTTTTAAAATTCTTTTCTGCCAATCCTCTTCCACTGAGAACTTTCACATGGTTCACAGCTAATATAATCCTACATTTTAAAGAGGATGGATTACAGAGAATTATCCTCCTGTATATTAAAAGCGGTGAAAGGAACCTTTTTATTTTCTCAGACACAGTTTCAGAGCAGCGGCCTGGAAACAACTGTCCCCTTATAGTCAGATTGTTCCTTTGGTCACACCACCGCTTGAGTAACTAGCACTTAGGGATAAGGTGTAGTTGGGAACTGTCAGTGTTAGGTTAATGGTTGTACTAGATGATTTTCAAGGTCTTTTCTAACCTTGATGATTCTGTGATTCTGTAACTAAGAGACGCATTGAAGGCATAATTTTCCTTGTTTTCCTTCTTTTCAGAAGCAGTGAAAACTTTTTTTTTCTTTCCATAAAACAGCATTCATGCCATCATATGGTTCACTTTCTACTGCTGTCTTTCCTGTCTTTTTTGACTGTAAACTGATTCAGCCTAGCACTACAGTATGTTGTGTTTATATAGATATTGGGTATGATAGACTCCATTTCTAGCTGCCCCTACCTTAACTTTGTTAACAACAAAAATAAATAGCAGTAATTTGCTATTCCTGTTCCCTTCTATCTCCCTGTTAAACATCAATGATAAGGGAGAAAATCAGAGTTTCACTAGATCTTCATTTGTTCTTCTTCCTTCTCCAATCCATACTCTTGTCATGAATGAGAGGAATAAAGATGTCAAATAGTTCCTCTCTTTCTTACACCTAAATCAGGCTCAGGTAAGTCACATATATAGGTGTGGATTTTACTGCTCTGTAGAAATGTGTACTGTAAAGCGCAAACTAATCTTTGGTACCCTGTTCCATTTGCTGGCAAGAAACAGCCTCTCAGTGTTCAGAACATGACTACATATTTAGCACAGGTGGTGGCCAAAGTTACTTTGGCCAAAAGACAAAGCAACACCGTTTACGTGCAGTAGCAGTACCTGGTGAGAAAGATTTCTGGAGAAAGCTGCATAAATGTCTCCTTCCAATTTCTGGCCAAAAGACAAGAATGGCCTTCATGCTCTTGTTTTAATGGAACAGAGAGCAGAGTATTGTACTGATATGCACAGCCATCTGGTTTTCCTTTGTTTAAAAAGACATGTTACAGTATTCACCTTTGACAACTATTTATTGTTTTGTCCTGCTTTCCTGACTGATTGCTAACACAGATGTTTTGGTGAAAATGGTAAACACTGGCGTATTACTGTCAATATTCTTGTTTCTTCAGTCAAGGAAGGATCGAAAAAACACCTTTGCTGAACTTCACATAATAATAAAAATAACAACAACCTCAGCCTCCAAACCACATGAACAAAGCTTTTCAATAGTGTAAATTATTTCAAGAAGCTGCTGCAGCTGTTCCATAAGCTAAGTAGTCTAACTCATTTCACCATGAACCTATATATCCTAACCGCATGCAAAGGCCGCAGCTGTCTAGTAAGAAATAATAGATATTTGCACTGACACACATGGGATATTACCCAACTAATTCAGGATATTGCCCAATATCCTGTATTAAAGGTATCAAAGGTGAAGAGACTAAGGAAGTAACTGAAGAGTGCTCTTCCAAACTTTGAAAAATAACACTCTTTTTTAGAGTCATCCTTTACGATGATCATTACACTGATAATCTGAAGCTGTTCCACAACTATTTGGTCCAATGTAATAAAACAAAGCCTTACAGTCTTCAGTCCTAAAAAATCAGACTGCTGCTCCAGTCAAAAACCAGTCTGAAATAGTCATCTCAGATAGATCTCTTCAAACTCAAAGTTGGTTTCTGTAGAACTGCTCAGGTTTTGTAACAGTGCAATGGAATATATAATCTGGGCCTAGTTTGTTGTGTTATTAATGTACCCCCTTAAACAAAGCACTTATGTATTCACACTACCACTCGTCCCTTTGACCTGTCTTCCTCCCACAAAGAGAGGAGAATTTAAAATCCTTACCATTTGCTTTGTAAATCATTTCTAGTTTCTTAGGAAAATATCCTACCAGATTTGCTCCACTGGCAGAAGATCAAAATTTATACACTTGGTGCTCAACACATTTCTAGGCATGCATTTGTGCAAAAACAACTGCCAGCTTGTTTTGTATTAGTACAGGACGAAAGCATAAACTACACCAGACTGCTTGTATATAGCCAAAATAGGCACCCATCGCCATTTTTGTTCAGTAACTAACAAAACCAGTGAAAATCAAGCCCAATATGCATTCAGAATATGGTGATTTCCAACAACTGTGTAAACCAATGCTAATGTTAAAAGGTAAGAAAATAGTATTTCCTGGTCTCTTGATCAAAAAAAAAAAAAATAAAAAATTTGATGAGGCCATCCCTGGACTGGAAATAGAAAATCTTCCACTGTGGAGTCTCAGGTGTACTAATTCATAAACATTTATAGTCATCACAAGCACCTGTTCTATTATTGCTCAAGTATAATATTTGATTTAGACAATTTGAGATGGAGTTAATATAGCAGCTCTTTGTGCATATAGCAGAAGGAAATACAGCTCATCTGTCAAACAAACTGCCCTGCACTTTCTTGCAACATGGGGCAGAAGATGATGAACTGGCTCAGCCAATACACCTGCGTGCAACTGACCTTGGATGCCACAAGCTATGCTGTCATTTTCTGCCAGAAGAATTAATCTGCATCAGGATCTGTTTGCAAAATCAAACATTGACACTGTATTTAAAGTGTATTATGAGTAATTTTTTGTCTGCTATAGAATTTTTGTATCCGTAATTATTTCTTGGAGATCAGGGTCTTCCTGAAAGCTGCTCAGATGCAAGAGACAGCATAACACCACCTTGCTCACCTCCACAGGTGATGTTGTTCAACTGTGCTAGAATTCTGTTTGTGCAGCTGCTGTGCTGCTTTTCAAGTAGGTGAAGAATGAAATCCCTTCATCACTAAGTTTGTTGTTTTGTATCTCTGGGTAAAGTATATTTTTCTCTGGACTGATCTGGAATTGAGAATGCTGGGGTTTCTGAAGATTGACTGTTGCCACATACCACCAAGGCTGTTTGCAAAGTGATCCTAATTAAAGGAGATCCTGATAGATTCCCAAGTACAGTTCTTGACATAATTCACATCAATATTTCTTGATCACCACATGCTGGATCAGCCCTAAGGAAAAGCACTAAGCAGAGCTGTTTCATAAGGAACAAGCTACTTCCTTCCTCAGAGGAACACTGCAGTAACCTGAAGGTTTTACTGCCCATATAAATCATGTTATATTATGCCAGGTAACCAGGATGCAGAGGTGATTCCTCTGCATTCCCTTTGCTTGATGAGTCTTCCCAATTCAAGTAATTCTCCTGCACTGCCAGGCACTGCCTGAAATCAACCTCCAAAGAGGATCTAATGTAGCTTAGGGACATGGCTGAGTGGTGGACTTGGCAGTGCTATGTTTACAGTTGGACTCGATGACCTTAAAGGTCTTTTCTGAACTAAACGATTCTATGATTTTATGATCTGCCTCAACTCAACTTTCAAAGCCCTAATGTGTGACTTTATATATTTTTTGGTATATGTTTTTTTGATGGACCAGTGCAAAATAGCAAACAGCAGAGACCAAAATCTGACCCACAACTCTTAAAGAAATTACCTGAACAACCCTAAGAATTAGACTGATGGTGTAAATCCATCAGGTTTTTACACTTAGCTCTGCAGTAGTTGCTCTAATGCATTTTATATTCTTTTTCATAAGGCAGTTCTGTTCCAGTAGTCTGGCACTCATGAATGTAATGCTACAATAACAAATTTGCTATCACTGAACAACAGGGAGAAAAAGGAAACAGAGTTTCAGGCTCATAAGGGATTATGGTAGATAAGTAAAGCAAAAATAACTCAACTCTGAAAAAGTCTTGAATTTTTTTAACTAAAATAGTGCACAATAGATGAAATAAGAGATGGAAAGCTGAAGTCACCAAACATCGGGGTTGGTATCTGTTAAAACTAGTCTCACAGTCCAGAGTTTAAAGGAATACGCCAAGCCACTCCTTGACAAGTGTAAGCACTGGGACAGTGGGAAGTGAAATAATATAATGAATGGCTGCTGGAGGGCAGGAGAAGTATGTCACATTTTGGGTCACCTAGGAGCCAAAACTGACACCCCATGAATAGCTGACTGATTTTTTTCAATCTGTATTATCACTTTCCTTGTGTTTCATCATTTTGCAATTCATTAAGATATTACAGAACATGCCCAAGAATATCACATAGTCTTCAATTTTCAGGTATCTAAAGCTATTTCATGAGCAAATTGTTCTATGCTTACTCCAAATTTACCTGTTGTTCACCACTGAAATATTTCCAGCGGCTAGTTCTCCCCATCTATAGCTATTAGTCAAGGTGACATAGAAAGTGTCGAAACGACAGATCCTGTTAGAACACTAACATTATTAAGGCAGAAGTTAATAGTTCTGCAAGTTAACTTTATGACCAATTAATCACACAATGTGATGAGTGCTGGAGGCATTCTATTCCAGATGCATATCCTAATTTACCTGAAGTAAAGCACACCTCAACAACATAACTTTGTGGTTGAAATATAAAGCAATAAAATGCTGAGTTAAAAGAAACTCTCCTTTGAACTACCAGGAATTCAGGCTATGAAATAAAATCTTTTGCATTCAGCAGGTATTATGCAATGCAGTGTCACTCTTACCTCCATGGGAAAGGCCTTAAAATTAACTGTGTGTTCAGAACCACGCTGGTTTTCTCTCCCCCAGTGAAATCGAACATCATGTAGCTCAAACTCATGTCCTCGAGGTAATGGCCCCCCTATTAACACTGGGAAAGGAGACAAATGGTAAAGAACCTGGCTTTCAAAGCAGACAAGCCACTGAATATATCCTCCAAACAGAATAAGGATATTGTTGCAAGTTTCTTTATTATCAGTGGTATTAGAGAGGAGAAGAGTAAAGTTGACGAACTTGGCATCTTTACTTTTGAAGTACCACACAGGTACAGAATATGAAGTCAGGCAGTTACAAACAATAGTGAAACTGCTGTCATGCTGCACTCTTTGTTTTATGAGGCAAAACAGCCGGTCATAACACAAAATAAAAGCATTGTACCCTTATTAGTCGGAAGAGTGAATATATTTATTGCTCTTATCAAGACAGTAGCTATGTGCTCTAAACAGATGGTGAGGGTTCTGAATTGAACTGGTGACTACCTCCAACTTGTCCGAATGCTTAATCTCCATCACCTATATTTGCTATGAGTCACAGAAACTGATAGAAAACTTTTGACTGCCAATATTTCACCAGGTAAAGGTGTTCGATCATACACCACCTGTCATGTTTCTGAGATACAGAATGCCTCCATATCCAAATATAATCAAACCTACACACAGCAGAAACAACATACCTCATTTACTTAAAAACAGCTTGTAGGCAGCCATGGCTTTTTTTTTTACTTCAGTTTTTTCAACATCCAGAATTTCTTAAAAGCATCTGTCCACAATTGCAACACACACACACAAAAATTTACATAGCAGCCTGATGCTTTTGCATTAGTAGAGACTTACATCATAAGTAGTAAAGGCAAGCAATTGTACCTTCTGAGTCCAAATCTACTTAGAAATTAATCGGTGGAAACATTTTGCTCAGGGATTTCTGAATCTGCTTCAGATCAAATATTACTCCAAAGCTGTAGGTAACTTCCCACTGAAAACACTGAACACTGGCTTCTAGGCAGGGCTGGATTTCACTTAAGAGCATTCAGTCTTCCCGAGAATCCATTAAATTCTCACTTACTTTTCATAGATTTGAATGAATCTTTTACAATCTCTGATAACTGATAAGGATTATTTAATTGTATAACCTACAAAGTTCCATAATATAAAGTTATTTGTACAGACAAACTAAATGTCCTTAGTTTGGAACACAGGACATAGTGTAATACTAAAACGATTTAGCAACTTAATCATATTGTAACTGTACAAACACAAAAACAAAAGTACAGAACTATAAAAAACCTGAAAGAAAACTAATCGATTATGGTTTTCATAAGTAGTTACATTGCAGAAAAAGGCAAAATATTCAAATTAATCCTCCTTTAATAATTATTCATATCTAAGCTAGCCCTAACTAGGGTTTCTAAAAGGAAATGTCCTAAATTTAGTTATAGATTCAGGTTTTCTTCTTAAACTTGCTTTATCTATATTCTATCTACACCTGTACCCCACAGGGAAAATCTACAAATCTGCTGGACACTGGGGGAAACAACCAATTGAAGTGTTCAAGGAAATCTACTCAAATAAACCCATGATACTCAATTAGTACTATTTCTTAGGAAAATGAAGCATTTTATCTCTTTTAAAATATTGTGCCTGGAGAAAGTGGAACTAGAACAAATGTTCTCTACATGATGTAGTTCTGGGTCTCCAGGAGCTTCAAAGAGTTTATTTCTGAGGCTTAAATTATAACACTGATCCCATGATAAAAGTATTTCAATGCAAGAAGCACGTTTATCTTTCCTTTGCCTTTTATCAAATCTTGATCCTTGTCAATGCATGAAACATGTTTAACTTTGCTTTGCCTTTCAGCAATTTCTGATCCTCATTAGAATATTATTCTGAAACCACCATCCACTGTGCAATCCACTGCTGGCTTAAGAGAAGTCCCTCCGTTAGCAGGATATCCTCTAAAGCATTTTTCAATATACAATTCCATTACACAGTTGGTCATGCTTCTTCCACATAACACATAACATATGTACAACGATCAAACTGGAAGCAGCCTGTGAAAATGTTTGCAATTAAATAATGAGAAGGATTTAGGAATTCCAGATGGACTGCATGTCCTGAATAAAGGATAAAATCAATCACCAGTAATGACAAATTGATTTTTAATATGTCTCTTAATCAGTTTACTTTTTTCCACAAATAAGTTTTTCTTTGACTGTTAATATTACAGTAGATGAGGATCTCTTCCACATTAATTGAACAGAGTTTCAAAAGCATTTAGTGCTCAACAGTTCCCATTAAAATAATCTGGCTAAATGGATTTGTCATCAGAGATCCCCTGTGAGGAAAAGAAGCTGCAGGAGTTTCCGCAATCCCTGAAAACTGGCCAGAATACTAGGTCATACTCAGCTTGTTAACTCTTTTCTCCTCTTGAGGGGATAACAGATGTTTTCTTCCCCCTCCCAAATATGGAAAAATTATCCCATTTATAAATTAAGAATGGGAAATGATGTCACATGAAATCTAAGGAAAAGCTGAAACTAAAGATTTCCTAGATCATAATTCCAAGCCTCAGGCATAAACTTATTCTATTTCACATTTGCTTATATTTCAAGACTCGTCAGTATGGCATCACACTGCCTTCAAGTTTTAAAAGAAGTCTTTCTTTCTCTTAAGTCTTCAATGGTTTTTTGCACATGCTTTTAGGTGTGTTGATTCCATCTTAATTATTGCTACGAAGTAACAAACTGCCCTTGGGAAAGGTAGGGTTGAAGGACTTGCATTCTGGCCTGCAAACGATGATATCGCTTCCAGTCACACTCACATCCTCCACAGAATTCAAGAACCTTCCTCATCCTGCAGAGAGAACTTTACTCCTTGGGAAATGAGCTCTGCTTCTAATGCAGGCAGTAAAACTGGCCGGAAGTACAAAATTTCTATTCTATTGCAAATCTGAAAAGTTCCGTGGAAAGAAAGGTTCTGTGTTGCAATAATACACGGAATTTATCATGGAAAGGAAATTATAAAGGAAAGCATCATTATTAAAATAACAAACCTTTCCTTCTTAAAAATTTCAGTGTCAAACTGAACTGACTCCCTCACTCTCAGTACAGCTGTAGCTACTAGGACTACTGGGATCTCAGAAGGAAACAAAAAGTTGGAATGCCTCATCGTTTGACAATGTTCAGCTGTTTAAATGCCCCCAAAAGCTGTTACTAGCTAAGATTGGTTAGAACAACATGAATGCTCTTCCAAACACATGGGAAGAACTACCACAGTGCTGGAAAGCACAGTGGACTTTTCTCTCCCTACTTTCTTGACAGTTGTCTCCTTCATTCAAAATAGTTTACTCAGATGAAAGGTCTGCATGAGAGACTGCAATTTCACTTAAGTTGGAATTGTTTCTTTTGTTTCTTTTATTATTTGCTTGGGGAGGGGGGGCTGATTCTTGTTTGATGAATGACACGAAAAAATTCTTTCAAGAAATGAGGACTGCTTTGCTACGTGCTCTTCATCACTATTGTAAGCATGTGTAACTGGAGTTTCTCTCTTAAACTGCCCAATTCTGTAGTTAGTATTCAGAACCCACCTCAAATTAAGGAAAAAAGCTCTTTTAACTTACATGGTCTTTGGATCAAGGATAAATTTTGCCAGCTGTACAAAATAGTTTGGCATCACACTGTCTAATAAGCTATAGGCTGGACTGCTCCTGAACGCAGACAGCAGTCAGTGCTGGTGAACTGGATGACACCACCACAAGAGGAAACTGTGGACCTGCTGTGAAGCAATCTGATTGACCACTCACTTTGGCATTGACACTTGCAGCTCCCATTGCAAAGCTTGCTCCTTATTCCTACCAGAGTCAACAGCAACACTCTCACCGGCGGCAGTCGATGCCGAGCGAGCACAACTGCTCGCTGCCGGGAGCAGCTGCTGTGCCTACGCTCCGGGATACGCGTGCAGGGCAACGCAAGCTTTAGGGGGGAAAGCAAGGGCCGTGTTTCAGCATACCTGATTTGGACTTCAGGGCAATCTGAATTGAATGCCCGTCGTTGATCACTTCACAGTCACGACACACTACGTAGTTTGGCGACAAACGCACTTCCAGGAGCGAGGGGTCGTACTTAGCTTCTCTCGAGTTCAAGTTAATAGGCGACTGGTACTCGCCGTTAGCATCAGGGAAAATCAGCCCCCACTCCACTCCTGAGACACAGGGGGAGAGCCGTCACGGGGACACCCGGCACCCTGCGCTGCGCCGCGGCTCCCCGGGCCACCCAGACCCTCCCCCGGCGCTCACGGGCCGCCTCCCCCGGCCGCGGGAAGCGGGGGGCTGCAGCTCCGCGGCGCCCATTTAGGCCACATCCA